GCGTTGCCGTTACAAACACCCCAGCCTCGCCGTGACTCGGGAATCGGGCCGGCAAGCGGGGCCGCGTGGCGCGGGACATCGGCCCTGGCTGCGGGACGAGCTCGGAACCCTCCTCTTTGTGGCACCGGGAGGATGGGATCTTCCCGTTGCTCTGAGCGCCTTGGACTTGCGCTCCCAAAGCCGGGCACCTTTCCCACTGGTGCAGGGCAGCCAAATGCCCTGCAAGGCCCTGCCGCTCTCACCGCTGCGTCCGGCCCTGCAGGTCTCCGGAGCCGGCCAGGATGGCGCAGTGGAACCAGCTGCAGCAGCTCGACACGCGCTACTTGGAGCAGCTCCACCAGCTCTACAGCGACAGCTTCCCCATGGAGCTCCGGCAGTTCCTGGCTCCGTGGATTGAGAGCCAGGACTGGTGAGGCCTTGCGACGCTCCGGCGCGTGGGCTTTGCTGGGGATGCTCAGCCCTGTGTTTTAGGGGAGGGCCTTGTCCTCTGCTTTGGATGAACAGGGATTTTCCAGTGCTTGCTTCCAAATCTGAGGGTTGTGTGTGGGTTGCTGGTCTTGTTCCTTCAGACCCTTGAGCTCTGCTCCACAGAAGGGTTGGGATGGGAGCGGGTGCCAGGGAGGTTTGGAAACAGGCTGTGCTTGTTCCCCTAGGCTTTGGCTTTGCAGAACTGTTCTTCCTTGCTCTGCCTCCTTCTGGGACTCGTTAAGTGCAGTGCGAAAGGGAGCAGAAATCTGTGAATGTGGTGCCAAATCCCCAAGGGGGAAGGTGCAAAGCAAAGGTGTTCACATCCAGGTTTACCCTGTCCTCCCTTGCACACAAGGCTGCAAAGGAGCCACCTGCTCCTTTTTGGAGAGCACGTGGGCCTGGAGAGGAGGCCGTGCACCCTGGCTGAAAGCCAGAGCCCAAGCGCAAGCCGAGAACATTTGTCACCTCGGCCCTGCGTGCGCTCGGGTGGCTCGTGCATGGGGGAGCCACTGCTGCTCTGGTTGATCGACGCTGGCCAAGGCCTGCGATGATCCGCGTGCCGGGGCGGCGGGGACGCGGGGAGCCCGGCGCGGGGTGCCAGGCTCGGGGCCGTGCCGCTCGCAGGGCCTACGCCGCCAGCAAGGAGTCGCACGCCACGCTGGTGTTCCACAACCTGCTGGGGGAGATCGACCAGCAGTACAGCCGCTTCCTGCAGGAGTCCAACGTCCTCTACCAGCACAACCTGCGGCGCATCAAGCAGTTCCTGCAGGTGGGAAGGAAGCGCACGTTTTGTTTTTAAATGCTGGCTTGGCAGAGGGAACCTCTGCGCTCCTAACGCTTCCCTTGAGCGATTCGAGCTGCAGCGTTAAAGGCTCTGCAAATCCCACGAGTTGCATTTTTACCTGCTAACTTTGGGGGTTTGGGTGCTTTACAGAGCAGATACCTGGAGAAGCCGATGGAAATAGCCCGCATTGTGGCTCGCTGCCTGTGGGAAGAGTCCCGGCTCCTTCAGACAGCGGCAACCGCAGCCCAAGTAAGTGGCTCGGGGGCAGGTGGTGTCCCGGGATGGCTCTTTCCTCCTGGCAGCTCCATGCACGTGCTCAGCTGCTTTTGACAGCCAGCTTGAGGGCTCTGCCTGCAAAACCTCCGCAGGGCAGAGTCTCTCTGGGTCCTAAGTCCTGTTCTAAGTCCCTTCTTAGGGGCGCTTAGTCTAAGGTCTAAGAGACTAAGGTCTAAGTCTCTTCTGCAGCAAGGGGGACAGGCAACACACCCGACAGCAGCTGTCGTGACAGAAAAGCAGCAAATGCTGGAGCAGCATCTGCAGGACGTGAGGAAGAGGGTACAGGTACGTGTGTGCAACGCCGGGGAAGAAGATGCCTAAGAGCATTGTGGTTTAGTGCTTTGAACAAACCTACATCTCTGGCCTTGCAGGATCTGGAGCAGAAGATGAAAGTGGTGGAGAATCTCCAAGATGATTTTGATTTCAACTACAAGACTTTGAAAAGCCAAGGAGGTAATGGAAGCTCATTAGTTTCTGGCAAACCAAAGCGTGTTCCTGTAAGGAAATGTGCTGGAGGGTGTTTCCAGCCCTCACTGTGCATCTTTCCAAGCAAAAAGGGCAGTTTAGGCTCAGGGCATTTGCATGGCAATTGGAGAAACCTTGTTTTTGTTTCTGCTGCTGGCAGAGCCCCAGGAGAGCTGAAACAGCTCTGCTTGTTTTGAGCATGAAAAGAGAAGTGGCACGTAGAGGTGATATCCCTGCTGTGCATGTACTAAAGTCAGCAAGGAGTGTGGAGGCTACTTAATGATCACCAGCCTCCTGGGCTGCTTTTTCTTTGCAATTGACTGGAGGTCTCTGGCGTGTGATCCTCAGGAGGGCAGGAGTGCATGTGCTTGGCTGAAAATTGTTTTCTTCTCATTGCAGACATGCAGGATCTGAATGGAAATAACCAGTCAGTGACCCGGCAGAAAATGCAGCAGCTGGAGCAGATGCTCACGGCGCTGGACCAAATGCGGAGGGTACGTTGTGACCCTCATGAGTGACCAGCCCTCCAGATCCCTCTGGGATGCAGAGATGCCCTCCCTGGAATAGGAGTTTGGTGCTCATACGTGGCTGGATCTGAGAGGATCACTAGAAGTGCAACCCTCAGTCCCCTCTTGTTTTTAGAGGAACTTGTAGATCTTGAAAGGAGTTGGAGGGTGCTGAGTTTCTTTCTCGCTAGGGTATCGTGAGCGAGCTGGCTGGGCTCTTGTCAGCCATGGAGTATGTGCAGAAGATGCTTGCGGATGAGGAGCTAGCAGACTGGAAAAGGCGGCAGCAAATCGCCTGCATTGGTGGCCCCCCCAATATCTGTCTCGACCGACTGGAGAACTGGTAAGGAAGCCTGCTGAGAGTTGCAGAAACCTCTCAAGAGGCTGCATCCAAACATCTGCACTGGAAACGGTCTGGGAATGCCTCTGGGAATGTCCTTGCCAACTGAGTGCTGATGCCTGCAAGCATAAATGTAATCTGCTGGTCGGACTGGTCCTGGAGAGCAGGTGCTGCAGCATGAATTTCTAGCTCCGGGCCTGTGGGATTCCCAAGGCTGCTGTGAGGAGTTCCTGTCGCTGCGTGGCTGTTTGTAGGCCCTTGGCAGGGGTTTCTCTGCAGGTCTCAGGCATGTGCAGATTTCCTTTTTAGCTCAGAGCCTAAAGACACCTGGTTGGGAGGTGCAGGCCATTCTGTTCTCTGATGGTTGATGTAGAGATTCGCCCCTTGTGTACCAGTGAGGGGGGCAGAGGGCTTCAGTGGGTGGTCTGAGAGCATGCAGGGTGCAAGGCTTGGCAGCCAGAGCTAACACGGGTCCTTCCTGCCTCCCCTAGGATAACCTCTCTTGCGGAATCACAACTACAGACCCGGCAGCAGATCAAGAAGCTGGAAGAGCTGCAGCAGAAAGTGTCCTACAAGGGTGACCCCATTGTCCAGCACCGGCCCATGCTGGAGGAGCGGATTGTAGAGCTCTTCAGGAACCTGATGAAAAGGTGCTGGGAGCTGCCGTGGAGCTGCCGGCAGCTCTGGGGTTACAGGGAGTGTGGGGAGGGATGAGCAGCCCGTGTGCTGGGATGGGGTCTGGGATGTGACCGCTCTGCCTTGTGCCTTCTCCCTGCAGCGCTTTCGTCGTGGAGAGGCAGCCCTGCATGCCCATGCACCCCGACCGGCCCCTGGTCATCAAAACGGGCGTGCAGTTCACCACCAAAGTCAGGTGCGTCGCCGGCCCTGGGTGTGCGCGGTGGGGAGGGAAGCCAAGGAGCTCCCTCCGGAGGAAACGCTGCTGCGGATGCTGCCTCCGGCTGGCCTGGGAAGCGCTGGCAGCCCGGGAGGGAATGCAGCCCTGCGGGCTGGCCCTGCTGGTGCGCAGCCAGGTGACTCAGTGCCGCCGCTGGCTGCGGAGCCGCCGCGTTTCTGGAGGGAGGCGGG